AGGTCTTTTAAAAGCGATTAAAATAAGTTTTTGACATTTTTTGTAAAACAAACAGTGGAGAAGATATGCGAAGAAAAAATTGTAAAAAAATAATACTAAAAATAAACAATGTCTCCGAAATTTTTTAGACTTCGAGTACTTACCAACGTGTTCTACATAATTTTATCTAAAAAATTACTTAAAATCATCTAACTCCTAAAAATGTCATCAAAACGACGATTTTAAAGCTCTTCCCACTGGTTAAAGAAGCTAATATTGATTCACACAAAAGTTGTGTATTTTCAACTCTAAGTTTCTAATTTAATTAATTATTCTAATTTTATATCTATATCCATAATAGTTCTAATCTAATTTCAAAATATTTATTTAAATAAAAATGAAGGGTTCCAGTTGAAAATTCAAAGTTGCTACACCCACCGCGTTCGCAGGGAGAATAGGAACCCTGCTATTGCATAAGTATATAGATTTTGATATCGTTGCGGTGTTGCTATCTTAGTTGCAAAAAAGGTCAATAACTCTGTGGTAAGTTTTACTCCATATTCTGACAGGATCTTATCAATACAACTACAGTCTAAAAAAGGTATAGTAAATTTTATTCAAGTTTATGCTCCTACGGCAGATAAAGATGACGACGATATCGAACTGTTTTACCATGATTTGGAACAAGTCTTAAAATCAATGAAAAAACATCACACTACAATAGTAATGGGCGACTTCAATGCCAAAGTTGGCCAGGGAAGAGTGGATGGATATGTGGGGGAATATGGTCTAGGAAATAGAAATGAACGTGGTGACCGTTTGATACAATTTTGCCAGACGGAAGAATTTGTAATAGCTAATACACTTTTTAAGCTACCAAAAAGAAGGTTGTATACATGGAAATCTCCCGTGATACAACGAATAGAATAATCCGAAATCAAATTGACTTTGTCCTTATTAGACAAAGATTTCGTAATTCTATACTGTCTGCCAAAACTTACCCTGGAGCAGACATCGGTTCAGACCATAACCCCATAGTAGTCACATTACGAACCAAATTAAAACTGGTTAAAAAACCCACACAAAGTAGAATTGATATTAAGAGATTAAGGGAACCACAAACAAAGGAACAAACTGTAAAAACTCTTACTGACAATATACGTAATGCCCAAGAACTGAATAAAAGTAGCTATAACATTGATCAGAAATGGGAAAATATAAAAGCAGCAATAATTAAAACAGCAAATGAAAACTTAAAACCAAAGAATAGAAAACATAAAGATTGGATGACTGAAGAAATACTACTATTAATGAATGAAAGAAAATCATTCAAAACAAAAAATCCAATTAAATATAATGAAACTGATCGATTAATAAAAAAGAGAATAAAAGAAGCTAAGGAGAGAATGTTACATGAGCAGTGCCAAGAACTACAAGAAATTGAGAAAAAATATGACTTTTTTAACATGCATAAAAGAATTAGAGAATTAACAGGAATGAGAAAACCACTTCAAACTAGGCAACTAAGAGATGAAAGGGGTGCACTTATAACAGATATAAACCAAAAAATGCAGAGATGGACACAATATATAGCACAACTATTTGAAGACAAAGAGAGAACAGAAGCACCAAAAGAATTTAAGGATGATACTGGGCCTGACATTATACGAGAAGAAATTGAATATGCAATGAAACAAGCTAAAGATGGTAAATCTCCCGGGCCTGATGAAGTTCCTATCGAATTACTTAAAATTGTGAATACTGAATCTATTGATCTTCTTCTGGATCTATTCAATACCATATATAGAACAGGTATAATACCTAAAGAATGGCTCCAATCAACATTCATACTGCTTCCCAAAAAAGCCAATGCAAAGGAGTGCAATGAACATCGCACCATAGCCTTAATGAGTCATGTCTTAAAATTGTTTTTAAAAGTAATTCACAATAGAATACATAAGAAATTAGATGAAGGCATAAGTAATACACAAATGGGATTTAGGAAAGGACTGGGAACACGAGATGCACTGTTTGCAGTAAGTGTTCTTTCGCAGAGATGCTTAGATATTAATCAGGAAGTATATGCCTGTTTCATTGATTTTGAGAAGGCATTTGACAGAGTGCAGCATAATCGACTTAAAGAAATTTTATTAAATAAAAACATAGACAGTAGAGACATTAGAATCATCTGTAACCTCTATTGGAATCAAACAGCAAAAGTGAAAGTTGAAAACGAACTGACCAAGGATATCCAGATTTGCCGTGGGGTCCGCCAAGGGTGTATTTTATCACCCTTGTTATTCAATTTATACAGTGAAGCCATCTCAGAATTAGCGCTTGCCGAGATCAGTGAGGGCCTTATAATAAACGGTGAGCCACTTAATAACATAAGATATGCTGACGACACCGTCCTTTTGGCAGGAACACTAGAAGAACTGCAACACCTTGCTGAACAACTAAATATATATTGCAACGATTATGGACTAAAAATCAATTTGAAGAAATCCAAGTTCATGGTATTTACAAAAGCACAAAACATCAAAGTTAAGCTAGTACTAGATAATACAGAAATTGAACAAATATCTTCGTACAAATACCTTGGAGCATGGATCACAGAAGATACTGATCAGACAAAAGAAATAAGATGCCGCATTGAAATTGCGCGGTCAACTTTTAATAGAATGAGAAAACTTTTTTGTAATCGCGATATCAATATATCGCTCCGGATAAGAATGCTTCGATGTTATATTTTCTCTACCCTCTTGTATGGAGTTGAAGCTTGGACACTTAAAAAATCCAACATTAAAAACCTAGAAGCATTCGAAATGTGGTGTTACCGACGCATTTTGAAAATATCATGGATGGATCGCAAAACAAACGAACAAGTTCTCGAACAACTAGGAAAACAATGCGAAGTTTTAAATTCCATAAAGATCAGGAAATTGGAATACTTGGGGCACATCATGAGAGGTGAAAAGTACGAACTACTAAGGAACATAATGCAGGGTAAAATCAAAGGTAAAAGAAGCGTAGGAAGACGTAAAATCTCGTGGCTACGCAATCTCCGTGAGTGGTTTGGATGCAGTTCAATTGAACTATTCAGGCGAGTAACCAATAAAATTATAATTGCCAGAATGATTTCCAATCTCCGATAGGAGTGGAACTTGAAGAAGAAGAAGATAGATTTTGAAAAACCATTAAAAAAGAATTCCTAAGTTTTTTCGATACGACGTCTAGTTCTCGAGATATTTGACAATCGCCTTTCTGGACAGAGCTCTTTAATAATGTAAATAATATTATTCAAACCGGAAATAAGCCGAAGGGAGTGAGAGGTCTGACTGTAAAATTCATTTGCGATGTTGCCAAATTTACCGGATCTCGGGTTGTCTACAAAATGTATATTTAGCATATACACAACGGATCGCTCGCACTGCCTCTACAGCGGATTTAGTGGAACTACTGCAATATAAAATTCACCAAAAGGGGTGCAAAATGAGGTCCAGACAAAAATCGATTTCTTTGTACCCCCATCATTGTTACATCGAGATGTCACTATATACACGTGAATACAAGGTGAGATCCAAAATCGGATCTCGCCTTGCAAAACGGATCTCATTTTGTATAGCTTATGATACAAACGGATCTCGCCTTGATATGAAGACATATATATATATATATATATATATATATTACCTGACTTAAACATGCTTCTGACGTTCCATGTGGCTATTTTGCAAGGATTTCGCATATTAACGGCCTGAGGGCCCTGCAGTCTTGAGATTGTCCTCTCTTGCCAGATCTCAGATTCCGAGATCCATGATCATAAATGTTTTGACTTAGATTATTAATTTACAGCCACGATAGTTAAAACGAGGAGTGCCAAAAGGCCTTTAATGCAGTGGTTCTCCTTTGTTTTCTGCATCCTTATGCCGTTGACTAATTTATAGTTTTATATTAATTGCTATTTAACTGGGAATAAGCCACAATTAAAGATAAAAATACGTTTATTGACGTTTCAATTTCCACTTCGGAAAGTTATAGTTTTATAGTTCTTCCGCCTTCGAAATTTATTTCTCAATTCCCGGATAAAAGAGTGCCCTACCACTTATCAACTCGTCCGCCCAAAGCCATTGGTCAGTAAGTGGGGGATTGCTTATACCGGCAATCACTCGGACGCCAGAGCCACCCAGAGCCTCGTTTGTTGCAAAAGCAGGATGCACTGGATGATCAGAATCAAGATCATCACACGGCCAGGTGAGGTTGACATTTTGATAGGAGAGGCTATATATTGCCCATCACAATCCCTTACATAGGATAAAATGAGGAATATTATTACTCGTATATTTTTGTCTTCTCCAAATGCCGTTTTCATAGATTGGATCAAATTTTCTTCTGAAGACTTTTTTTTGGAAGATAAGTAGATAACTAAAACATATTATTTCAAATTATGTGGTTATTAACTTTTCTTAAACCAATAAAGGTATTTGCATTCATAATCCTATAAATGCAATTCATTTCTCAGGTACATTAAAATATATAATTTTTATTTTATTTCCATTCCTATAATATAATCATTTCATTATCTCAGTTTTAAAACATATTACCTAGACGTTCTTAAGCTCCTCTGTATACTACCTAATTAATTGAGATTGCTTATATTCAATCCTATTTTATTTATATTTATTTTTGGAAATCTTATTTGATGTTCTGTCTGAAAAGAACAATTTAGATTTTTAGTTTAGTCAATATATGAAAAGACAAGGGACAACTGTTTCCAAAAAAATATATAGCATAAGACAAAATATACACATATATTTTTTAAATTCTATCCCATTTTTCTTAGATATGTTTGCCTTGTGTGTTTTTTCTGCTGTAATAACATTATGTAATTTAGGACGTTTTCAGAAATTAAAATTTTCTTTGTTGATATAAACAGAAAAAAACCATAAGTTTTTAAATAAAAATAAAAAATCCAAATAAAATTAATCACATTAAAAATTATAATTTTAAAAATAATATACCTGCCAAGCATATAGGCTCCTGTGATGACTAACTGGAAATCCAGAAGTTCTCCACCATAGGTTCCATCCTTCGGTGTCACCGTTGTATTCTCTCCAACCCCTCTCTAGACAAACCTAATACGCCAAACAATAGTAAATGCCAATTAGTTTTAGAATGTTTCTAAATTTTTATTGAATATTTTACAAACTACTAAAAATAAACGTGGTAAAAACTAAAATCACAGGAGATCTAAACACATTCATATTCGAGGTTCACTCAGTGGTTAGCAAAAGTATTACCAAAGAGTGATAAATCACATCCGAAAAAAGGAAGGATACAAAAGTATTTTACATCATTTTACTTTGTATTTTGTTTATTCAAAATAATCCATTGTACTCACAGTACATTAGATGTACACGTGTGTACCTACTTCGTCGGCGTCATCTACAGGAAACTATATTTTATTATCTTCAGTTAAAATTACAATAGATTCCAAAATCAAGAATAATAAGTAATTTTTTGTGTACATAGCGTGTAGGAGCCTCTTTTAGTGAAGGTTCATTTTCTTTTTTTATTATTTAAAACACTTACGCAGGGTTATTAGTGGGATGACAAACACAATAGTTGTAATACGATTATGTACATTAAATAGTATAATACAATTTTATATCTCTTAAATAATTTAATACATTTAAATTTTTATCTGTCAAGATAGATTTAAGGTCGTCTGAAATTCCATGCATTTTTCTTTGATTTTGGAAATATGGGCAATCAAGCAGGAAATGTTTCACTGTCAATGAAGTAGAGCAGTTATTGCAAATTGGCGGTGGATCTTTACTGATTAAAAATTTGTGTATGACAGCAGTATGACCAATTCTTAAACGGTTTATAATTAATTAATCTCGTCTACTTGTGGGGTTATTCAAAGAGCTGTTCACCTTTGGGTATATTGGGTTTAATTTGGTTGCTGAATTTTCCAAGTAATTTTGCCAAATGTTATTGGAATGATTTTTAATCAGATGTTTCATGTCACTATAGGGATATTTTGTAATTTTTGTAGTATCTTCTTAGTTGATACAGCTTGTAGTTACTAGTTGATCTGCTTTTTTATCTTCCCAGATTCTAGTGTGTGATGGTACTCAAATGAAAGCTGTGTCCCATGGAATGGAGTCTTTCTAATTCATTTTTTATTGCTTGTATAATGGGATTTGTTGTATAAATTGATTGTGGATTGAAGTGAATCTGATTGATGACACACTTCATCGTGTTACTCGTTTTGAAAAAAGTTGAGGCTTTTAATATAGCTGTGGTTTTGCCTGTGAGTATACTACAATTTGAAGGTAAGTGTATGCTGTAGGAGTTTTCTTCATCAGAATAGTAAGCAGCAGCATGTTCATCTGGGGTTTTAGAGGCATCGGTAACGATTTGTAAGTAGTTGGGGTAATGGGATATGATTTCTGCAAAAAGATTTTTAATTATCGAGAAGTTTGTATATGATTTTGGATATTTTCTTTGTGTTAGGTCAATGGTAAGAAGGCAAGTTGTCTATGGAGGAGAGATTGCATTTGTATATAGCAATAGACTAAGTTAATTCATGTTAAAATTTGTGACTTTTATTCTTTCTATTAAAGCTATACAGTTTGTTGTCTTTTTAAAAGAGGGATGCCAGGGTGGAAAATTTGAGAGAAAAGAGGATAAAGTTTATGAATTGAAATTTTGGGAATATAGTTTGGTGATAATTGTTGTCGGCTTATGTTTAGAGGTGGCTCTTTCGCTAGAACTTGTAAACTAATAGTGGGACTAGTTCTAAATGCACCAAAAGTGCCAATCTCAAAGCTGTAGATTGAATAACGTTAAGCTTTTTTAAGGTAGTTTTGATTGCGGAATTATAACAAATGCAACCATAATCTAGTTTGCTCCCAATGAGTGATTTATATAAGTTTATTAGTATTTTAGTATCTGCGTCCCAAACTTTATTAGAAATAATTTTGAATATATTTAAGCTAGATTGACAGGAATGTTGTAGATTATTGATATGCAAGTTCCAATTTAAAGTTCTATTAAAAGTTAAACCTAGAAAATTAACTTCTTCTGATTGTTTTAATGCTAAATTATTTAAAGGTAGGTAAGTTGAATACCGAGATCTGTTTTTATTAAAAATTATGTAATGTGTTTTTTCAGTAGAGAAAGTTTAACCCAGTTTTTTACGTCCAATTTTCAATCCGAGTTAAAATAGCACTATAACTTTATGCACAGATGAAATAACATTTTTTGAAGGATAATTTACCATTCAAAATAATTTTATTTTTGGACGGCTTTAAAAGTGGTATACTGTACCTTAGTCCTACTCCTTCACTTTCTTTATTTAGCAACTATGAAGGTTACTAATTTATCATGAGTAGTTTATTAAAAAGTATGTACGTTCTTCTCCTTAGAGTGCCATATCCCTACGGAACGTCGACGACTACCGTGCTTATAATATTGTTATACTGATCTCGGTCTTACGCTACGTGTAGCAATTGGTCCGTTGTCAAACCTGTCCACTGCCGCAAATTCCTCAACCAAGAAGTTGGTTCCTGAACCATGTACGTTAAAAGCAATAAAATAATATAACACAATCACAATTATATGTCACATAATTAAGGTAGAATATAAAATAGTTGGTTTTCTTAAACATTAAATCTGTTTGGTTTTGCCTAACCATTAAATCTGTTTTCTAGATCAATTGGTTTAAAACGTTTTAGCCTACACACTTTATTACTATTGTCGAATAGCCGCTTTGCGACTGCATTGAGATGTACTTTTATCCGTTCACCATATTTGACACTGTAACTTGTTATAACTTTTATTACCGAAGGTACTTCCAGATCTTTTTCTATAGAGAAGGATATAATAGTCACGGGCATGTACTATAGACCTTAACACTTTATTCTGAAAGCTTTGGAAGATTACAATATTAGAAAATTGCAATATTTTTGTAAATTTTCTAATGATTTTGTGGGACATGGCCAGTATTGCGGTATCGTCTGCAAAACTAGCAAGTTATATGTTGCTGCTTAATTGGAGGTCTACAGTGTATATTAGGAATAAAATAAATTCTATCCTTGCGTAATACCTATTTTTATAGGGGGAAGCTGATTGTATTCATCGTGCTGCTTTAACAGAAAGTATCTGTCTGATAGATAGAATATTAGGATTAAAAACAAAAGGATATGAAAATTGTTTCTTTATCTTGTAAAGTAAACCTTCATGTCAAACCTTATCGAAGGCTTAACAGACATCTAGAAAGCCTGCTGAGAGGTAGGATCTACTTTTCAGCACATAGACTGTTTTTTTACTATTCTATGGACCTGTTCAATGCTTTAACCTGAATCCAAATTGGTGATTCGGAATAAGTTTAATTTTTCTCAGATTGACATAATGAATCTTATTATTACAAGCTTTTCGAATACCTTTGATGGAATCGGCAGCAAACTTATAGGTCTATGAGATTTTAGGTCTTCTGGTTTTTTTTCCAGGTTTTTGCATCAAGATAATCTGTAAGATTTTCCATTGAGTCGAAAAGTAGCCTGCTCTGATGACGGCGATGAAAATGCGGTGCAGATGTTTTTACCCTTTTATTTTAAATTCTTGCAATAATTTGCCTGATCAGATTAAATCCTGGGACTTATTTTGGGTTTATATTTTTCATAATTCTATTTCTCAATTCGATAAGCGTAAGCTTTTTAATCAGTAAGTGTTTAGTTGAAGTGAAGTTTCTAAGAAGTATGAATCTTGCTATAATTGGCGTTGGGATCTGGTTACTTTGGTTCAAAAACATTTACGAGGTGTTCAGCAAGGGCTGAGGCTTTTTCTTTGTTATATCTGCTTTTTTTTATCTTATGTATCTTTTCTTTATTTGCCGTGCATGTCTCTTATTGAAGGACAATATTGTTGTGGTTGTTTTAGCTTTTTTGTTGCCTTACAAAGTGAGTAGTCTGTATCTTCAGAGGATGCAAAAGAACCAAGGTAATTCTGTGTACCTTAGTTTTTAATATTTTTTAGTAACTTTGTTAGATATTTGGTAGCTCTGTTTATTTGTACTTTACCGCTTTCGCATCTCGATATCTGGCATTTTTTTCGTAGTTGGCTTTTCTCCAGTATTGTTTGTATAACTATGGACTCAAGATTTTTTCCGAGTTTAGTGTAGTCAATAGTCGAGGTTGTTGCCCACGCTGCTTTCTATATAGATATTGTAAATTATTTTGTTGCATCTTTTATTTCTTGTAGCGTTTTAATAACATTTGCAGATTGATTTGTGCATCTAAGTTTTCCTTAAATTCTATTGTTTGTTTGTTTTATCGTTTTCTTGGATCGCTGGTCCAATAGATTGGTTGGTTAGTAATTACGTATGTTAACTCGATATCTGATATGACTGCAAGTAATCTCTTGCTCTTACTCGTTATGACCCTAAAACCCCATTGTGTATGTTTGGCGATCAAGTTTCCACCAGCTATATATCTATTACTTAACGATCTAAAAAAATCTTGGTATTGTTTTATTTTGTTATTATGCTATGGTAAACAATATATATGGCAGATATTACTATTGATCCGTGAAGTCACGAACACAAACTGTCGTTGTTTGTTGATAATATGCTTTTATTTTTTGATGCTTGATATTTCGTTTAATTTTATTAAGACAGTCAATTCATGCGTAGTTCTATCCGCGATGTTCGGTATGATATGTATCATAAACTAATATTTTAAAGAAGCTTTTATTTGAACAATGTGTTTCACTTAAAACATTATGTCTAAATTATTTTTTTGTACAAAAGCACGGATTTCTTGAGAGTGCTTGCATAGGCCGTTATAGTTCCATTCAGTAATTTTGATTAGGTGAGTCATTAGGATATTTTATTACTTACGAGAGTACAAATCAGATTTATCATTGTACCCAATTGATTTAAAATTTCTTTTATCATGGATTTTAATTCTGTCATATCATTAGTTTGTTGTGCAGCTAGATAGATGTGGTTATTTCCACAGAAAACTTACGGTATTATTATATTATAAGACACTATGGCTTAAATTCTCACACCCCTTTGTTTATAATTCTATTTTATTACACTTTATATACTAACAGTTAATGAAAT